TCACCAGAGAAGCCATCAAGAAGCAAGGGCTGGACTTGATCGAAAGCAAGAAGAAAAGCAAGAGGAAGTAGCCGTTGCTCCCCGAGACCTGGGGATGCCCCAGAGCACCCGTTGTGCACTTTTGCCTCCTGTTAATAGAGGAGATGTTTTTCATTCCATCGGATGCGCTTGGTGGGCTTTGTGTGACTGCAGGTGTGGGGATTCTATTGCCAAAACGTAGCACAAGCTGTGGTTTTGAAAGGAAGCTCCAGAAGGAGCATGATGTGCCAGTGACCACGTGGAATGGAGCGTCCCAGAACCAAGAGCCCAGCAGGTACTTTCTTCTGCAATCACACTGCAGAAGACAACCCACCCATCTCCTGCCCCTGTCCTGTTCTCATGTGCTTACCGCAGCCAGGGGGGTGAGCTGAACTTCTAGGAACTACATCATAGATAGCCTGCATAGAAGAGCCAAAATTAAAACACCCAATGCCTCCTCCCACAACAGTGTGCCAGGACAAAAAGCTCTTGCTGGGCATCACCTACACATGGTGAGCACCAGATAAGCCCCACCGACACGCCAACCTGCCCTTTCTTAGCCACCCAAAACTCCATCCCTCCACATGGAAGGGAACCAAGGAAAAGCTAGGGTGGAATGTGGGCATTGGCAGCAGCAGAATGGGAGGAAGCCCTGGGGTGGTGAGGCAGCAGGAGGCCTGTGCGAGAGGACCGCCGCTCCCCGGGGCTGAGGGACTGAGGAGCAGCGGGTCTGGACCCCAGCTGGGCACACTGTCCCCCCCACCACAGTGGGGCGGTCATTGGCATCCATGAGGAATGGCTCAGGGAGATCCGAGAGGAGCCCAGATGTAAGCGGCGAGGAGAAGCAGACAGGCCAACCCAATACGGGTGATAAGCAACTTCTAGTTTATTTGTGACGCAGTTCACACATATATAGGAGTGGTATTCAGCCACTCCTTCTTGGCATAACAGTATTGGTTAGCCCCCACAGCTTCCTCCACATTCTCCTCCCAGGTCCGGTCTCCGGCCACCTGTGGGGGCCACCCCCTGCCTTGCTTGCACAGTCCTCCAGAACTCTATGGTCCTGCTCTTAAGAGTCATTCTGCAACAATTCCCCCCTTTTTCTTTGTGCAAGCAAGGCATTATGGGTTATTCTGTTCACCTGTTTTATCACACAACTATAAACAAGCCTAATAGCTACGATGATTAACCTAACAAGGATACATAAGTGCAATACTTTTAAACAGTGTTTGACTCAACCTGTAATGCCCCGTGAAGACAACCATCTAGTTATTCTTAGGATATTGCTCATTTCCTATTGCTGGGTAAGCTGAGCCAGGGTTCTCAGCTGTGCGTACATCGAATTAGCATAATCAGAGACTCATACAACACATTCCATCAAACTCTTCACATCCATGTCCCTGTTCCAACAACAAAAGGTTCTGCAGTGTTGCATGTCTTACAGAGTCAACATTAAAACAAATCAGGAATTGCCTTCGATGTAGAATTGTCTGCTTAGCAACTCAGCAACCCAGTCTGCTTAGTTGAGCTGAAGCACTTACAGTGATTTGGCATATTATGATTGGATCCATGTTTTGAAGACCCTCAGTGACTAACATATAATCGGTTAAACACAGGTGTGAGAACCCTGAAAGCTTGCCAACAGTCCACAGTTCTCATTAGCTTGGTGAATTCCAGCCTCTTATCTTGCTTGCTTAAGCTTCCTCGGGCCTCCCACGGCCCCGCGGTATCTTTCAGGACCATTCAAAGTTTATGTACCAATTACCCATTCTCCTGTGAGAACAGTGTCTCCACATCTTCCCCCTTTTGTTTTCTCCAGTAACAAGTCGCTACTACAGCAAGGCATACATAAATTTACATTAGCAGAGTAACTATTACAGGGTGCAGCAGCATGTCGAAGATGCTGATGGCAGTGAAGGACTAGCCAAAGAAATTTCTTACCAGTGGAATTCTCCCCCCCCTTAATTTGTTCCATCACCTCCTTTATAACACTACCATTGTATTAAAATTTTTCTAGCTTTTGCCTTAGCATTTTCTAGCAGCTACTGCAAATTTCCATACTCTAACATCTCTTTTACAAGTGACAAATCTATACAATACAAGGTGCAGTTTCTTATTAGCAACTAGCTAGTAAATACAGGTGGTTTTATACACAAAATCACAACCTCTAATAATAACTACTTTACAAGCACACATATTCAGGATGTTACTTTTCAGTTGCCCCCAAGTGATGTTTTGCAGTCATTCGTTTTTCTCTTCCTCTATCTCAGTCTGCTTGGGGTATTCACGGTCAGCTCCTGTAGCTGAGGCATCAGGTTTATCCATTCGTCTGTCCAGCTCATGGCAAGGCTTGACAAACTTTGCAGGCAGTCACCATGGACCTGTAGGCAGGAGGACACAAATATACCCCCTCCCCCAGGTTATCAGTTCTTCAGTTCTTGAGAAGTAGACAGGTTAGACAGGTTAAGTGCAGCATCATTACTCTCTCTCTCTCCCCCTCTTTTCTTTTCTTTTTTTTTTTTTTTTTTAGTCCCTGCAAAAGCCATCATTACTCCCACTACAGTCCCACGTACAGAACGTGGCACAAGGACCCTGTGGAGACTAACAGCAAACCAGCTCCGAGAAGGAGAAGCATCATTGCAGTGAGAGGTGGCAGGCTCAACCTTAGCGGGGGTCCCCGCAGAGGCTCCGCCTCCCCCACATCGTATGAGGCTTGGGCTTTTATACCGACCAAAATGCACACTCGTTCCGACACAGGTGGCCAGCCTGTGCTGGAACAAGTGGCTAGCAGTATCTACAGAGGTCTCCAAGGGTTGATAGAAACCTGGACATACTTATATTTACCAACTTCTAGTACATGAGTATCACAGAGAAACTGTATGGGCTCTCCCTGTCAATTGCAAGAAAAAATCATAACATATACAGCTTGAGTATAAGAGGATTTTAACGCATACGTGGTCACCGTTTGTCAGGCCTCCTTAACTATTTTGAGATCAAGAGCTTCCCACTCTTTAGCCCCCTGCTGTGTAGTAAACACAGGATATGCCAAGATGCCCATTGCAGAAAATTCCCCAGTAATGTTCACCTCTTTGGTTACCCATTGTTACAACAGAGCGTCTCCAGGGCCAGTAAGTCTGAGCAGACCGACCCGGGAGATGAAGAGTCAGGGTCTGGAAGCAGAGGATATAAATCTGGCTCGGATTCAGGGGATTCGGGGGCTGATCCTGCGCCGAACTCGGGGTCTCCGTTGCTCGCAGCTGTGTCTTTCTTATCAGATGTCTCTCGTTCGGTATGTGGCCATCTGCAGACCTGGCTCCTCCGTGACTGAGTTAAAAATCTTTTCACTCTGGGGCATAGTGGGCTGGAGAGGCTCGCGGTTCCTTTAAATCTCCCGCTCGCGCATGATCCCTATTTTCTACTGCGTGCTTCAAAATGGCGCCGCAATCGGTCCGGCGCCGAGGCACCGCCCTCTTTCTTTCGGATTCCTCGACTTTTATCATGCGTGTACCTTCTAATATACTTTCTCTGTCCTTTTCAAAGTCCCTGCTTTCGGAACTGGGGTGGTGGGGGAGCAGGGGGTTACACCTCCTCCGCGGCACCTTCTGATGGAGGGGGAGAAAAGGGGGGGGGGAAACCCTGTGCTCCCGCGAGTTGGGGTGGGGGGGAACGAGTTGTAATCTTCCCCCGGTTTCAGCCGACCGGGGACGTCTGTTCCTAGTTTCTCCGTTGCTACCGCAGCAGTTTTCTTTTCTGCCTTGTATCTTTTTATACAGTTCATTACTTCCCTCCGTGGTTTACCGAGTTTCTTTGCCTTTTTATAATCATTAAGCACTGAGTCAAATAGTTCATCACCAAACTTTTGCCACTCACTCTCCTCAAATATTGTATTAGGATCTGCAAAAAAAATCTCTTAGCCTTCCCTACAGCCACTAGACCTGCTAGCTGCTTTAGAGTCTCAGGCTCAATTCCCCGCTTTTCTAAAAAGCACTGTAAAAAGTTAAGGGCTCAGTTCCCCGCTGCCGTTGTCGAAGCCGAGTTTTGCTGAGGGACAGTGAAACGGAGATTCATGAACCACTTTATCCGATTTAAAATGCTTTCTCTTGCCCCCAATGTAATCTACGTGTTTAAATTTTGCCTCGGAAAGGTTAGGGGCGTAATTCCTGTATTTGGCACGTGGACGTGGCCTCCGTGTGGAGATCTCTACATGCATGGCCAGACTGGGGAGATTCCTTGGGTGTACAAACCCTTCCCTGCTTGTCTTTCAAGCGACCACTTCTTCATGCAGGCTTGATGAAGCACTAGAGATAATCGTGTCGGAATTTAGCTTGTCACTGGCTATTAGCGCTAACATGCCATTTATAAATCTGCAAAGGAGATGCTGAGTAAGAGCCTCAGAGGGTATTTCTTAACCCCCTTAGCACAACAGGATGGCTGTAGGTAAAAGACCCCGCATTACAGAAGCTTGATCTCGGCTGAAGTACAAGCTTAGTGCTGGGAAGGCCATTTCCTCCAAAGTCTTTTTCTGCAGCTCTCTGGTAGTGGGATCTTGATGGTATTGACCAACAAACAAGTGTACGTGCTTGCATTTCGTGTCCCGTTTGTAGGTGAGCAAGAGCATACGGTGAGCATCCGAATAAATAATCAGTATTGAGAGCTGGTTGGTTCTTGCCCGTGTCAACAGGAGCGTAACTCCCTGCGCGGCTGTTTCCTGACCAATGAGCTGACCTTTCCAAAGGGACATGTCCAGGCAGCAAGAGGCTGCTCTTGCTCCGTTGCTGTGGTTACGGCCCGGCAACAGTTCCCAGGGCGTAGGGAGCTCAGCTCCATGTTGTGGTTACAGCCCTGCGACAATTATGAGGACGTAGGTTGCTCAGCTCCGTTGGCTTGGCCACAGCTCTGTGACCCTTGCAGCGGGCAGTAGAACTGCAGTGGCTGCTGCGTACACAGCGGGGCTGGAGAGCCGAGGCAGGAGCAGCGGCATCATGCTGGGCCAGAAGACGAACCTCAGCAAGCGCATCCGTGAGATGCGTGCCAGCATAGCCTTGCAAGGTGCTGCCCCGTTGGCTTTGCGTTATGGGCTGGGCCAAGTAGGGGGCTTTTGGTCCCCGCATCATCCTGCATGGTACCAACAGCTCCTCAATGTCCTGCAGGGCAAGCAAGGAACTTGTACAGCAAGCCACAGGAAGAGAAGTTCACGCAGAACGTGGAGCGGCTGCCCCAGCTGCGAGAGGCGGTGCAGGAGGATATCTATGTCCTGGGCCTTGCCCGCAAGGTACCGGCAGGTCCCATTTGCTGCCTCCGTGACTGTGACTCTGCTGGACGTGCAGAGCTAGCTTCTCCACTGGTCCTGTCCAGGAGCAGGGAGTGCAGGGCAGCAGGAGGCTGGGACCATCCCCAGGCTGGCAGTGATGTGTTCTCTGCCCTTCTTCTGCCCACAGCATGAGCTCACCATCGCTGAGGCTTGCGGAGCGGAGCAGCCCTTGGGCATTGCTTTGGCCAGTAAGCCGTTGGAGGTAATAGCAGAGTCCAGCGGGGCCAGGCTGCTGGCAGTGGGCTGGGGTTCAGGGGATGCTCAGAAGGAGCGGTTGGAGGGAACAGGCAGCTGGTGCCAGCACCAGGACAGCCCCGCGGGGCTGGTGCAGTGAGACACGGGGCGTCCATGAGCGGTCCCGTGGGACCCTTTGCACTGCAGGACCCATCAGTGTCCTCCCCTAGCTCCCTGAGCAGGTCCTTTGCCCCAGCAGAGCTCCTGTCCCGCCAAGGGAGCGAGCAGGTCCCAGCATCCCCAGCTCTACCTTGGCAATGAGTTTTGCAGGCAGGACCCCTTCTCCCGTGGGCGCCCAGCGAGCCCTGCCTCCAGCCTGGCAAATGCTCACATCCCATGCAGGTGGCCCGGGAGAAGCTCCGGGCTGAAGTCTGTCGCCAGGTGAACACATGCAACATGCTGCTGTACCAGGTGGAGCAGCGGAGCCGGGCCAAGGAGCGGCTGCAGAGGCGGCTGCAGCAGCTGCAGGATGTCCAGAGGGCCGAAAAGCAGCAGCAGGCACAGGTGCCAGGGCCCCTCCCTGGGGTGGCAGCACCCGTGGGGGGTTTCAGTCAACCCTGCCCCCCTGGGTGGGCACTGGTCTCAGTAGATGGGCTCACCCCTTGTCTCCAACCTTCTCTGCCCCAGGTGGTTCGTACCCTGGAGGGCAACATAGAGAAGATGCAAACAAAAGTCCGCGCTGGGCAGAAGGTGACTGCCCTGTACGTGGCGGTGCGGGATGCCCTGAGGAAGGTGAGCTCATCCTCACCGTGCCGTTGTCTCACCCGCTCCCCCTGCAAAGGCACTGAAGGGCCCAAGGGGCTGTGCTGGTGGGACACCCTCCTGCAGGAGGTCCTCCTGCTCCCCTCCACCTTCTGTCCCAGCACAGGGCACCCCTGGGACTCAGTGGGCTCTGGCTCCCCGTGTCCCAGGAGCTGGCCCACCTGCCTCTGCACCTGGACCTCCTGAGTGAGACGGCCGAGCTGCAGCATAGGGAGGTGGAGGACATGGAGCTCATGGCCTCGCGTGGGCTCAGAGCTGCTCGTGGAGCCGAGGTGAGACCATCGTCCAGGGCACCTCAGGGTGCTTTCCTGCCCTCCAGAGCCCACACATGGCACCAGACGGCCGTGCTGCTGAGTCTTCCTTCCTTCAAGAAAAAGCAAGACTGAGCTTGGCTTCGCCGCAGCACCCAGATGCCTCCATAGCTCCTCCTGTGTCTGGCTCTTGGGCCGGGCTGCCCTGAGCTGGGGACAGCTGCCTGAAGCCCTGGCCACGGGGAAGGTGGCGTTCTCCATTCTCTAGCTGGCCTTGCTCACTTTCCTTCCCAGGCTGTTTACAGGGGGTAGGGGGTGGCATTTTTGATGCTGGCCATGCCAGGCTTAGAAGCTCACAGAGGTCCGCTGGAGCTTTGGGAGCCACTTCTCTTCTGCTCTGCTCCAGGAGCGCATGGTCAGGACGAAAACCCAGGTCCTTGCAGAGAGGGAGCTCAGGCTCCGCACCCAGGCTGCTCAGAAAGAGCCCAGAGACGGAGGCTGGCTCAAGGAAGCAAAAGAAAGGGCTCTGAAAACGGTGAGCTGGGGGACCCCGGCACATTCAGGGTTGCCGGCATAGGGCGGGCATCAGTGCCCAGCCTGCCATGGGTGAGGGGCTGCAGGGCCAGCTCCCCCAGGGTGCCAGCAGCTCAGGGGTGACGATGAACATCCTTGCAGCAAGCCAAGCATGACCTCAGCAGGGACTTCCTGAGCCTGCCCGCAGAGGACCCAGTGGTGGGTGAGTGCCTGTCAGGGTGCAGGTGGGGGATGCAGGCGCAGCCGCAGGCATCCTTCCCTGCCACAACCTTTCCACCGCAGCTGCCAAACTGGAGGCCACCAAGTACCAGCTGCAGCGGGAGGCCTACGTGAGGGAGAAGATAGAGGAGGCCAAGGATGTGGTGCAGTGCTCCCGCCTCTGGGTGAGGTGAAAAGCCATCTCTGGTAGAAGCTGGGGCTGCTCCAGCCCCAGGGAGCTGAGCCTTGTCTGCTCACCTTGTTCCATGGCAGGGTTATCTGCTCTCCTCTGTCCCCAGAGCCCCCCAGGGCCCCTCTTGTACAGGCAGGGCTGGAACTGCTTTGCTCCACGCCATGAACTTGCAGTGCTTCCTGTGGTTCCTGGTGCAGAAACCTCCCCAGGAGCACGGCCCAGATCCTGTACCCTGCAGGAGTGCCCTGGGCTGAGTCCCTGTGCTCTCCCCCGGCCAGGACATCCCCATCAGGCTCCAGGCACAGCAGAAGTCCCTGCTGGAAATGGAGCAGTACCTCACAAGGTGCAAGGAGAAGAAGCAGGAGCTGGAGAAGGCAGTGAAGGAGCTGGAGATGCAGCGCGATGAGCTGAAGTTTCGCCGGCCCCCAGACACAAGCAGGTGCTGCTGGCCTCCGGACACTCATGCCAAAGGGGCCGGCACCCTTAGGGGCAGGGGGACACGTGCATGGCAGGTGTCCCAAGAGGGCAGCCCTTCCTTTGTCACCCTGCGGCTGCCCACCCCTCCCGCACTGGGAGGCTTTCTGAGCAGAGTGCTGCCCCAGCTCTGGTGCTGGCAGAGCACGCAAAGCTCCTGCGCTGGCAGCAGGAGGAGCCTTGCTCCTTGCCTGGCATGGGAAGTGGGAGCAGCAGCAGCGTGGGGTTGAGTTGCAGGCAGCATCTCTGCTCTGCGCTTGGGGGCAGGGGAGAAGCTGGGCAGCAGCTTTTGCAACAGCTTTGGGGTGTCTGCACCCCTGTGCCGTTGTATGGATGTGACCGTGGTTGGCTCCAGGGGGCTGGTGGAGGAGCTGAGGACGAGGCTGCAGCGGGAAGAGGCTCGGCTGGAACAGGGGCGAGCCCAGCTGCTGAGGAGCCAGGAGACGCTGCTGGACTTTGAAAACGCACTTGACAACCTCTTCGTCCGGCTGCGGGGCATCACCGTGCCTGGCCAGGTACCCGCCCAACGCTGGGCTGAGCAGAGCCCAGGCTCTGCTTGGTGCTGCAACGGCACCGTGTGGTGACACTTGGTGCAGCGACCATCACCCCAAGGGGCTCGTTCTCCCCACCAAGGCTGTTCCCTCTCTGACTCCAGGAGCATCCTGTCAAGGCCCTGGCAGTGGACGAGAAGCTCCGGCAGTGTGAGCAGAAGCTGCAGTACCTGGTGCAGCGGGTGGCTGACCTGCCCCCCTCCAGCCACAGCGAGGATGATGAGGTGCACGGCGGCTCCATCCCTGCTGCGCTCTTTGGGGACCCGCACAGGCTTTCCCGGGTGGCCCGTGCCAAGCCATCCTCCCAGCTGGAGGATGGAGGTGCTCGAGGGAAGAGCCACGGAGCAGCTCAGGCCCAGGTGGCCCCGGGCTCTGTGGGGTGTTCCCTACCAGGGGCACATGGAGCTTGGGCACCCCTTTGCTTGTAACACCCGCCTCCCCTTCAGCTATGAACACAGCCTCTCTTTCACAGACTTTTGTGAAGGTCAGGCAGCTGCTGGAGGAAACCCTCATGGCCGATCCACGGAACCGGAAAGTTTCCTTGGAGGACACGGGCGTGGGGCTCCAAGGTAGGAAAGGGGACACATCCCACGGCAACTGCCCCAGCCAGCCCCTGCCTCCTGGCATTTCTGGCTGTCCTTGCCCATCTCCCACTGTCCCAGCAGAGCCCAACCCAGGAGTTGCTGCAGGCGTTGGGGCTGACCGCGCTTGGCTCCAGGCCTTTGAGCATAGTGCTGGTTTTCTGTGTGCATGTGGGAGACTGGAGGCAGATGGTGGCTTGGGGAGCGTAGAAGCACCACAGGAGCAAGGGGGGATGCTGTGGTGCAAGCGGGGAGAGCCTCGTCTTCAGAACCACTTGGCTGTGAATCTTCTTCACAGCCAGGGCTTGGCTCTGCCAGTGGCCTCCTCCTATGGGAGCTGCCGGCTCCTCCTGGGGACACAGGCACAGCAGAGGCAGCCCCACAGACCCTCCCCAGCCCGCTCCTCTCCGCTCTCTCCTCCAGACGATTTTGATATCCCTGACAACCACAGTGGCCTTGTCCTCACCAGAGAAGCCATCAAGAAGCAAGGGCTGGACTTGATCGAAAGCAAGAAGAAAAGCAAGAGGAAGTAGCGGTTGCTCCCCGAGACCTGGGGATGCCCCAGAGCACCCGTTGTGCACTTTTGCCTCCTGTTAATAGAGGAGATGTTTTTCATTCCATCGGATGCGCTTGGTGGGCTTTGTGTGACTGCAGGTGTGGGGATTCTATTGCCAAAACGTAGCACAAGCTGTGGTTTTGAAAGGAAGCTCCAGAAGGAGCATGATGTGCCAGTGACCACGTGGAATGGAGCGTCCCAGAACCAAGAGCCCAACAGGTACTTTCTTCTGCAATCACACTGCAGAAGACAACCCACCCATCTCCTGCCCCTGTCCTGTTCTCATGTGCTTACCGCAGCCAGGGGGGTGAGCTGAACTTCTAGGAACTACATCATAGATAGCCTGCGTAGAAGAGCCAAAATTAAAACACCCAATGCCTCCTCCCACAACAGTGTGCCAGGACAAAAAGCTCTTGCTGGGCATCACCTACACATGGTGAGCACCAGATAAGCCCCACCGACACGCCAACCTGCCCTTTCTTAGCCACCCAAAACTCCATCCCTCCACATGGAAGGGAACCAAGGAAAAGCTAGGGTGGAATGTGGGCATTGGCAGCAGCAGAATGGGAGGAAGCCCTGGGGTGGTGAGGCAGCAGGAGGCCTGTGCGAGAGGACCGCCGCTCCCCGGGGCTGAGGGACTGAGGAGCAGCGGGTCTGGACCCCAGCTGGGCACACTGTCCCCCCCACCACAGTGGGGCGGTCATTGGCATCCATGAGGAATGGCTCAGGGAGATCCGAGAGGAGCCCAGATGTAAGCGGCGAGGAGAAGCAGACAGGCCAACCCAATACGGGTGATAAGCAACTTCTAGTTTATTTGTGACGCAGTTCACACATATATAGGAGTGGTATTCAGCCACTCCTTCTTGGCATAACAGTATTGGTTAGCCCCCACAGCTTCCTCCACATTCTCCTCCCAGGTCCGGTCTCCGGCCACCTGTGGGGGCCACCCCCTGCCTTGCTTGCACGGTCCTCCAGAACTCTATGGTCCTGCTCTTAAGAGTCATTCTGCAACAATTCCCCCCTTTTTCTTTGTGCAAGCAAGGCATTATGGGTTATTCTGTTCACCTGTTTTATCACACAACTATAAACAAGCCTAATAGCTACGATGATTAACCTAACAAGGATACATAAGTGCAATACTTTTAAACAGTGTTTGACTCAACCTGTAATGCCCCGTGAAGACAACCATCTAGTTATTCTTAGGATATTGCTCATTTCCTATTGCTGGGTAAGCTGAGCCAGGGTTCTCAGCTGTGCGTACATCGAATTAGCATAATCAGAGACTCATACAACACATTCCATCAAACTCTTCACATCCATGTCCCTGTTCCAACAACAAAAGGTTCTGCAGTGTTGCATGTCTTACAGAGTCAACATTAAAACAAATCAGGAATTGCCTTCGATGTAGAATTGTCTGCTTAGCAACTCAGCAACCCAGTCTGCTTAGTTGAGCTGAAGCACTTACAGTGATTTGGCATATTATGATTGGATCCATGTTTTGAAGACCCTCAGTGACTAACATATAATCGGTTAAACACAGGTGTGAGAACTCAACCCTGAAAGCTTGCCAACAGTCCACAGTTCTCATTAGCTTGGTGAATTCCAGCCTCTTATCTTGCTTGCTTAAGCTTCCTCGGGCCTCCCACGGCCCCGCGGTATCTTTCAGGACCATTCAAAGTTTATGTACCAATTACCCATTCTCCTGTGAGAACACTGTCTCCACATCTTCCCCCTTTTGTTTTCTCCAGTAACGAGTCGCTACTACAGCAAGGCATACATAAATTTACATTAGCAGAGTAACTATTACAGGGTGCAGCAGCATGTCGAAGATGCTGATGGCAGTGAAGGACTAGCCAAAGAAATTTCTTACCAGTGGAATTCTCCCCCCCCTTAATTTGTTCCATCACCTCCTTTATAACACTACCATTGTATTAAAATTTTTCTAGCTTTTGCCTTAGCATTTTCTAGCAGCTACTGCAAATTTCCATACTCTAACATCTCTTTTACAAGTGACAAATCTATACAATACAAGGTGCAGTTTCTTATTAGCAACTAGCTAGTAAATACAGGTGGTTTTATACACAAAATCACAACCTCTAATAATAACTACTTTACAAGCACACATATTCAGGATGTTACTTTTCAGTTGCCCCCAAGTGATGTTTTGCAGTCATTCGTTTTTCTCTTCCTCTATCTCAGTCTGCTTGGGGTATTCACGGTCAGCTCCTGTAGCTGAGGCATCAGGTTTATCCATTCGTCTGTCCAGCTCATGGCAAGGCTTGACAAACTTTGCAGGCAGTCACCATGGACCTGTAGGCAGGAGGACACAAATATACCCCCTCCCCCAGGTTATCAGTTCTTCAGTTCTTGAGAAGTAGACAGGTTAGACAGGTTAAGTGCAGCATCATTACTCTCTCTCTCTCCCCCTCTTTTCTTTTTTTTTTTTTTTTTTAGTCCCTGCAAAAGCCATCATTACTCCCACTACAGTCCCACGTACAGAACGTGGCACAAGGACCCTGTGGAGACTAACAGCAAACCAGCTCCGAGAAGGAGAAGCATCATTGCAGTGAGAGGTGGCAGGCTCAACCTTAGCGGGGGTCCCCGCAGAGGCTCCGCCTCCCCCACATCGTATGAGGCTTGGGCTTTTATACCGACCAAAATGCACACTCGTTCCGACACAGGTGGCCAGCCTGTGCTGGAACAAGTGGCTAGCAGTATCTACAGAGGTCTCCAAGGGTTGATAGAAACCTGGACATACTTATATTTACCAACTTCTAGTACATGAGTATCACAGAGAAACTGTATGGGCTCTCCCTGTCAATTGCAAGAAAAAATCATAACATATACAGCTTGAGTATAAGAGGATTTTAACGCATACGTGGTCACCGTTTGTCAGGCCTCCTTAACTATTTTGAGATCAAGAGCTTCCCACTCTTTAGCCCCCTGCTGTGTAGTAAACACAGGATATGCCAAGATGCCCATTGCAGAAAATTCCCCAGTAATGTTCACCTCTTTGGTTACCCATTGTTACAACAGAGCGTCTCCAGGGCCAGTAAGTCTGAGCAGACCGACCCGGGAGATGAAGAGTCAGGGTCTGGAAGCAGAGGATATAAATCTGGCTCGGATTCAGGGGATTCGGGGGCTGATCCTGCGCCGAACTCGGGGTCTCCGTTGCTCGCAGCTGTGTCTTTCTTATCAGATGTCTCTCGTTCGGTATGTGGCCATCTGCAGACCTGGCTCCTCCGTGACTGAGTTAAAAATCTTTTCACTCTGGGGCATAGTGGGCTGGAGAGGCTCGCGGTTCCTTTAAATCTCCCGCTCGCGCATGATCCCTATTTTCTACTGCGTGCTTCAAAATGGCGCCGCAATCGGTCCGGCGCCGAGGCACCGCCCTCTTTCTTTCGGATTCCTCGACTTTTATCATGCGTGTACCTTCTAATATACTTTCTCTGTCCTTTTCAAAGTCCCTGCTTTCGGAACTGGGGTGGTGGGGGAGCAGGGGGTTACACCTCCTCCGCGGCACCTTCTGATGGAGGGGGAGAAAAGGGGGGGGGGAAACCCTGTGCTCCCGCGAGTTGGGGTGGGGGGGAACGAGTTGTAATCTTCCCCCGGTTTCAGCCGACCGGGGACGTCTGTTCCTAGTTTCTCCGTTGCTACCGCAGCAGTTTTCTTTTCTGCCTTGTATCTTTTTATACAGTTCATTACTTCCCTCCGTGGTTTACCGAGTTTCTTTGCCTTTTTATAATCATTAAGCACTGAGTCAAATAGTTCATCACCAAACTTTTGCCACTCACTCTCCTCAAATATTGTATTAGGATCTGCAAAAAAAATCTCTTAGCCTTCCCTACAGCCACTAGACCTGCTAGCTGCTTTAGAGTCTCAGGCTCAATTCCCCGCTTTTCTAAAAAGCACTGTAAAAAGTTAAGGGCTCAGTTCCCCGCTGCCGTTGTCGAAGCCGAGTTTTGCTGAGGGACAGTGAAACGGAGATTCATGAACCACTTTATCCGATTTAAAATGCTTTCTCTTGCCCCCAATGTAATCTACGTGTTTAAATTTTGCCTCGGAAAGGTTAGGGGCGTAATTCCTGTATTTGGCACGTGGACGTGGCCTCCGTGTGGAGATCTCTACATGCATGGCCAGACTGGGGAGATTCCTTGGGTGTACAAACCCTTCCCTGCTTGTCTTTCAAGCGACCACTTCTTCATGCAGGCTTGATGAAGCACTAGAGATAATCGTGTCGGAATTTAGCTTGTCACTGGCTATTAGCGCTAACATGCCATTTATAAATCTGCAAAGGAGATGCTGAGTAAGAGCCTCAGAGGGTATTTCTTAACCCCCTTAGCACAACAGGATGGCTGTAGGTAAAAGACCCCGCATTACAGAAGCTTGATCTCGGCTGAAGTACAAGCTTAGTGCTGGGAAGGCCATTTCCTCCAAAGTCTTTTTCTGCAGCTCTCTGGTAGTGGGATCTTGATGGTATTGACCAACAAACAAGTGTACGTGCTTGCATTTCGTGTCCCGTTTGTAGGTGAGCAAGAGCATACGGTGAGCATCCGAATAAATAATCAGTATTGAGAGCTGGTTGGTTCTTGCCCGTGTCAACAGGAGCGTAACTCCCTGCGCGGCTGTTTCCTGACCAATGAGCTGACCTTTCCAAAGGGACATGTCCAGGCAGCAAGAGGCTGCTCTTGCTCCGTTGCTGTGGTTACGGCCCGGCAACAGTTCCCAGGGCGTAGGGAGCTCAGCTCCATGTTGTGGTTACAGCCCTGCGACAATTATGAGGACGTAGGTTGCTCAGCTCCGTTGGCTTGGCCACAGCTCTGTGACCCTTGCAGCGGGCAGTAGAACTGCAGTGGCTGCTGCGTACACAGCGGGGCTGGAGAGCCGAGGCAGGAGCAGCGGCATCATGCTGGGCCAGAAGACGAACCTCAGCAAGCGCATCCGTGAGATGCGTGCCAGCATAGCCTTGCAAGGTGC